AACCACAGGAGGTCTCGCAGTCCAGTACTATCACTACCCATGTTCTAGGAGCAGTGCTGGCATTCCTGCTGTCGAGAGGATTGCCCTTCTGGGGTCGCAAATCAAAATCTTGAACCTCAAGCCTTTCAAAAGAGAAGATGGATGAATTCAAGGTTTGCGCGTTGATCACAAGGGTTTTTGCACTCTTTCGGCGTACAGCTTTGCAGGAGATGAGGGACTATAGAACCTCGGACTTTCTTCACCAAGCCAGCCGTGCCTGCTCCTGTGGGCAAGCTGACTATGGTGTTGCCGGCCTTAACCTCAGATATTCACTAGAGTTGGGGGTTTAGGGTTTACACTGCGAAGCCAGGTTCTCAGGTTTTGAACCGGTGGGCTAGCTCCAACAATTTCTCACAGCAGAGAAAACCCTACAGTACTATGAGAAGGGGATGAGTGAAAGATGTAGAGAGTCAGCAGTCAGCAACTCCCAGTATCTCCCTTAATAACGGGTATAATACCTCCCTTATATATTTCCCGACATAATCCCCGTTAAGGAGTTTAGACTATAGCTCATGTGTCCTCTCTTGTCTGCCTGCCTTTTGTTGAAGTCAGGCGACCCTTCGTGCGCATTCTTGCTGGTAGGGTCGCGGCTGCATCTCGGTAACCCGGGAGTTTCCAAACAGTAACAGGCAGTTGAAGGTTCAGGGTGTACACGGACCTCATGTTGCAGGTCCCTGAATAGGAAGTTTCCAGGCAAGGGGTCTGGGCTGAGAAGGCATGAGGTACACTCAACAACATTGGAAACATTGGAGGTTGCTGTCACGGCCAAGACTGTCTTGCGTCTCTCGTAGGAGTGAGTTCTTGTGGACTGGTGCTTTCCGATTTTCTGTGGCTGTGAGGGCTTCGGATTCTGCGTAGCTGAACGCTAAAGCATATCAACTGCAGTTCTTGTGCAGCGACACTGAGACACACCCGAGGTTGCTCTTGAAAGGGCTCGTAAATTCTTGGAAACTCCCGTCAATGGGCAAACTTTGTACAAGAGTCTTCCTTGGGCATAGACAGCTTCGTCAGACGTGAAAGTTGCTCAACATTGACTATTCAGTTTTTGCGCAGTCCAGGCACTAATAGCTGCAGAAACTTCACAAAACCATCCCGCTCATGATTCCTTCCTTGACTAACTTAGGTGGGACTTTGGGCAAGTGAGGCGTCACAACGCGTTGGGCACCTGAAAATGCGGCAGGCAGCGTCTGGGTACGGAAGTGTTCTCTCAGCCTTGTGAAAGATGAGATGTCATCCCAAACCTCAGAAGTTATTACTATTATGACTATTTTTACTACTAGTACCATCAGTACAAATATCATGGCCTACTCCTTTTCTGGAAGGTCAACCGCTTAGGCACTGCACAGCTTAGGTAGTTAATGAGGCTGAGAATCCTGGATTTGGGAGAGACCGGTGCTGCTTTTTCCGCAGGCAAACATATCACCGGTCCGCGACCCAAACGAAACGGCACAAATCCACGAAGCATCTTAGTCTAGGTGCATGGGAGGGCCTCTACTTACCATCACTGAATGCATTTCTACCGTAAGGCCAAGTACATGGAATTTTGTTGGGAGCTCACCTCACAGCTGCCTTTGGCAACGCTGAGGGCGGATAGGAAAAACAGCCCACGGACACATCATCATCATCATCATCATCATAATCCTCAGTCTATGAGGGGTGTAGGGTATAGGGCCAAGGGTTTACGGTTTCAGCATTCGGGTATCTGAGGGATCTAAGAGATCATAGGGATATTATTGGGCGTGTTGTCCAAACTCATGGTTCCTTCCTGGGTCTGGATAATATTTAGGATACTTCAAATGCACTCTACTCTGGACTATCTACCATAGGGACAGGTGTGAACACACCGAATCATAATTCGCATCAAGATTTGTCTGGTCTTTCTGGCAAGACCTTCTATTGTTAAGAGGATTGCTAGCCTAACTTTCTGTAACGTGCCATGGGAGTATACTTACTGGGGGTTAGCGGGGAATAAAGGAATATAATCCCTATACAGTCCCTAAATATTCCCTACATGATCCCTATATAACCCCTATATATTCACTATACAATATACCCCCTTATTCCCGGCTAACCCCCAGTAATTATGGGGTTCAAGGGTTAGCTTCAAGGAGATCAGGCAGCTTGGACAGAGGATGCCTCCAATCACCGAGTATCTCAAGCTTGAACACTTGGGATTCTTGCAACCATATATCATTCTGGGATTAAAAAGGGATTCTATTCCATTAATGTTTACTAGCCCCCACGTAAATTTGCTCCCAGTTGGGGTCCTTTCTTTGGGGAAGGGTTGGTTTATCAAGTACTTGGGCCCCTTGGAACATTCAGCGTCAGACTGGCAGTCTATACGTCTGGGGCTTGAGGCGTCAGGTTCGGGGCTCTGAAATGAATCATATGGTTAGTTCCCAAAATTAGGGGTACCCTTTTGCGGTCTCTATAGTAAGGACTATATAGGATTTAGGGTTATACGGGTAGTTCCCAAAATCAAGCTCCCATTTTAGTACCCGTAAATTGTAGGTGTCGTAGTATCATCTTTAACCAAAAGGGGCTCAATATTTTGAGAGCAGCCCAAATAGTAGCTTCCATTTTCCTTTTCCATTCTCTCGATATTATCCTTGTATAACCCATTCTAGTAGTCCCTATATAACCCATTACAGTAGCTTCCATTTTATCTTCCATTATCCCTATATAACCATATACTCAGCCCAAAGACCGCAGCATTGTTCGGGATTTCAATTGGTCAAGGGTTCAGGGTCCGGGGACTTCCTAGGATCCTAGGGAGCCAACAAACTGAATCCAAAGCCTGGGATCCTGAACCCGAAAGCCCATGTAAATCCTGAAGCTGAAGCCCTAATAATTATGCAGTTTAGTTTGGGGTTTATGGTTTAGGGTTTCAAGGTCTTGAAAGCCCTTGGACCACTTGAACTCAGAGGTGGGAAGGCGCAATGTGTCCGTAGACTGCTTCATTAACCTTCTGCCGATTTTCTGGCACCTTGCCCTGCTCCCTCCTTTTTAAGCTGAGCCTTGGTATTGACTCCTGACTTACAGATTCTCACGACTGGTGTACTGGGATACGTCTTGTTGCCAACCCTGGAGGCTCCTGTTGTGTTCCATTCCACGCTGTTGTGGGGTGGGATACACTCGGGCACCACAAGGCAAGTTACATGGAAGTCCTTGGTAGGGTAAGCTTCCAGGCGTATGAACATGTGCAGTGCAGGATTCGCTTTCCATGCCCTTGGAACCCAACAGTCAAGTTCTCCCTTCCAACACCTCTGCGTCTACGAGGTTGAGTACAGCTAGAGCCCTAAACTGATACTCCAAAGCTGGGAATATTCGTGACATTTGCGGAGCCTTAGTGCAAGCGCCCGGCAGAATTACATGGTGAGACCTCATCTGGGAGTATCTTGAACTTGTGACGCTCCACAGCCATAGGGTATTACAAGGGCATTGTAAAAGTCCATGTTAAGGACTGTATTGGACTCATTTTGAGACACTCCCATGTATGAGAAAAGAAGCATTATGCGAAGCCGAACAACGCCAACCTTACGCTACACATGCGTCTTGGACAGAAGGGATGTAGAGGCCTAAGCACATACCGCAAATACAAGATCAACTGATAAAAAAGAGGGGAAATCATGATATGGAAGCTGGGGCTCATGAGGATGCCCAATTGCAGTATGCTCTGCTTGAGACTGCTTCTGCAAGGGTTCCTGGTATCTCAGGAGAAATTTTGTCTACGTGAACTACCTAGGATCCAAATACAGTGAGGGTGGAAACAAACCCCCTCTGTGGAGAGCAGCAGTTGAGTGCTACTCTCCTCCATATACCCCCTGCATAATCCCTATAATGAGATAGTAGTTTCCATTTCCATTATCACAATATACTCCCAATATAATCTCTATTCCGTTTGCAGATCACTGGTCCGTTCCCTGTGCTTCCTCACTGGCAGGCCACCACTGCTCACAAATGCCTAGTAATTACGACTGAAGGTACTGCAGTTTGTGTCATGACACTGATTGATATCCTGCTCATGCCCTAAACCGTAAACCCTCTATCCTGATAGAGATTAAGATTCGGGCTTAGATTCTTGAAGCCTCCAAAAGCATGAAGATGTCTAGTCGCAGCGTTCAGGGTTTAAGCCCGTCAAACTCTCAGCTTTGACAATTCGTCAACCCAGAAGGTGTCTAATCATCTTTAATGCTTGGGATTGTTTAGGGATTATGGAACAGAAAACGGAAAGTACTATAAAACTTCAGGAATTATATAAGGACTCTGGAAGACATGGAACCGACTATACTGCTCTAGGGATCAAACAGGATAAGCCCCCAAGCTCCTGAAACGAACGAGGCTCACATTCGATAAGCCTTACCCACACGCCAAATCTATCAATATGATCTAAAGAATAACCCCTATAACGCTCCCCAATTTAATCCCCTATAAAACCAATTTACTGGGGTGCTGTTAAGGAGCTTGAATTAAGTTACCATAATGGGTATATATCGTAAATAATAGGGTTTCCCCAATATAGTAACTTAATTTAAGTTCCGTAACAGCAACCCAGTTTAAGGAGTTCAGACTATAGCTCATATGATGGCATGGTGGACAGTCACGCAAACTGCCGGGTAGGTAGCCCTGAGCGTTTCGCTGCCATCAATAAGCGACATGCAAACACAGCAAGGACAAAGGCAAAACAGATCTCTTTGTTGACACCCAGAAGCACATGCTGCTATACTTGCGACAAGGATGTACTAAACCCTAGCCAAATGGGGGTTTCCCAAAATNNTATATTGGGGTTCCTTTATTTTGGGAAACTACCAAATCCTCCCTATAATCCCCTATATAATCCCAGTTTCCATTTCATTTTCCATTTTCTTTTCCATTTGATTCTCCATTATAGCTGACAAGGATGTACTAAACCCTCAGCCAAATCCTCAAGTCCAAACCCTAGGACCCTGGCCATCACTGCCTCAGCCGCCATCTAACCTCGACTGGCTCCGACCGAATCGGGCTTTTGGTGCGGCCTCAGTGCTAGAAAAGAGCTAAATGGTAGTTTCCCAAAATAGGGGGACCCCATTATAGACCCCAAAATACTATAGTCCTTATTATAGGGACCCCAAAAAGGTACCCTTAATTTTGGGAAACCCCCAAATCTACTTGGGGGGATCAAGAGCTTTTTCCAAAATTCAGACGTACCGTTTAAGGGTGCCCTTTCTTCTCATTATAGGACCCCAAGAAGGACACCTAATTGTTGACTTTGCCAGAAAAACCAAAAACTTCACAGGGGGAGCCCTACGAAGGGTTCTAAGGATGATCCAGGTAATTCAGAATCTGTTTGGGAAACTCCTACTTAGTAGGAGATCTACTCAGGACCTAACCTCCCCCAAAATGGGTATCGCTAGTTGACGATTTGGGGAAATGTCCGTTTTGTGGTGGTGCAGAAGGCAGGTTCAGGGTAGGGGAACGCTTTGGACAAAAAGCCTTCATAGCAAAATTGCTGCAAGTGCTATTGCTGGCCCTAATGTTCCCTAAGCCCTAAACCTTAAACCCCTAAACCCTACAACTATCCTTACCGGTATTTTTGGCTCTCGCTTCTCCACGCTTCAGTACTCTTCCTCTTGCGCGTACGACCTGCGCAAAACTCCCCAAACAAAGCTCCGCAACCAGAGAAGACCCCATACCAGGTAAGGCTCACTTGAGCTATAGCCACTACCGAAGAGCACAAACAAGTGTTCTTTCGCTCACGAGCGCACAACATTGAATTCGTTGGTTAAAACGGACATCTCAGCTGGAACAAAACTTTGCCTTGTACCATGATCAAGTGTCTGCAAGGGAGGTTTGGAACCAAACCAGTTTTCTCAGCCTGGGTTTGCAAAAGCAGCAGACAAGCTCTGGCTCGGCGGTTTCGTGCAGAGGGTATCATCGTGCTGCGTTGCTAAACCCGATGTCAGAAAACAAAAAGTGCACGAAATGGCTAAAACGGACCAGGCTGCTTCCATTTACCTGTGCAAACAATTCTCTGTCTCGCATGAACTTCAAGAAGCGCACGGAACATTGTGATTGTGCTGGCCAGTGATGTTGCACATCTACAACCCAAACAGGGATTCATGAACACAAATCAGGCCACGAACTCAGGCTGAACATCGCATGGAACTCCTCACCTAACACACGCTGGACAAACGCCCAGGGCGAACCCAACGACATGTACTTGAACCCTGAAGACCCTCTGGCGTGTCAATTTTTTTTAAACAACAACAACAACCGACATCCAAAACCCTACACCCTGAATCCCTTGATGCCCTCAACCCTCAAACGTGAAGCCCGAGCCAAAGACCCTGACATGCTCCTCAAGTGCGAACTCGCAGACTGCATCCCTAACCTTTAAAAATACAAGAACCTCCCAAAAGGAACCCATAAGTTGGGAGACCTCTCATGTACAGCAGCAAAGTTTGACCCGAGGTCGCAGCCCCAAAGCCACCGCCCAAAGGACGGAGACTGGGGTTCACATCGTCATCCTGGCGCGCAACTGCCGAAAGAGTGAGGCTCCGGCTCTAGGGCCCTGTACGTGCAGGGCGTACAGCTAAGTTATGCTTTGAACAAGTCTACACGAGACGATGCAAAATAAACAGCATCATGGGCACAGTAAGTCTTAGAATCTGGAAGTTGCGTAGCTTGCGAGATGCGCATCTTACACACGTGTCATGATCAGCATCATTGTAGGGCTCTTCTTTCACGCATTGTGACAGGCAGGCCACGTGCTTGGAAACTCCAATACAACAGGAAGGCTTGTTACCAAACAAGCAGGTTGTACAATGCACAGAACTCATGGGACTAACCCTCAAGCACAGAATCACCAGCTTCTACGCCCTTACCCTGTCGTCCATCAGGCCCTTCATTCTCTCCTATAAATTCCAAAATGTCTGTCCTGCAAAGCCGGTGCGCCAAGAAATCCATTCTCGAATTAGACCCCTGAACCCCAACTCTAATCCAAAGCTTTACTAGTTACCAGAAGTCTCAACTCCATAGCTAAATCCCTGGCACCAAAGCCCAGGAAAGTAAGCTTGCTGAAGCCCACGATATAGCCCTTTTGCAGTCATCGATGTTCCTGTGTAATCCTCAAAATGCACGAGATGCTCCATACATTCCAAGTGTAATTCCCAAAGAAAAGAACCACCACCCGTGCCCTACACCATGCCCCCAAGACATGCTTCCTTATAAATGCACAGTAGGAAGCAAAGGAGAGGAGCCCTGAAGCTGGACTCGCAGGGGATAGGATTCAGGCTGTAGGGATCCCTATACCCCTATCTTCCTTTACCCCCTGAACCCTAAGCCCTAAAGCCTAAAACCCTAAACCCCAAAACCCCAAACCCTAAAACCCTAAAACCCTAAAACCCTAAAACCCCTAAACCCAATTACGTGGCTGAAAATTCTGGCAGCTCGACATCTGGCATCATGGCGTAGCTGCTTGCCTTTCTGAGATGATCTTACTGGGAAGGACCAAGTATCCAAGAGTTCATGGTTTAGGGTAGTTCATTTGGATATCTGGGATGGTGGAACATGGCTTTGTAGTCTTGGTTCTGGGGATGTATAAGACGTTTAGGTACTTGGATCCCGACACTTAGGGATCACTAGGTAAAGGGCTTCGGGAACGTGTCTTGGCAGCTTTGGCTCCGAGGAAATAGTTAAACAGGGACTAGTAGGTAAGTAGATCCTCAGGGTCATCGATAGGTGAAGAGCTCCGGCAATGTCCATGACTGTCAGTCCTCTGAATACCGCGCATACAGAAGCATGATCGTTCTTCAGCTGCCCGCCATGTTCCGCGTTGAGATGATGTGGACACAACGGGCCCTTGTCATGAATTTCTAGCTTTAGCACGGAATCAGGCGTAAAGCAATAATTTTGCCCCAGTACCAGACGTGCAGAATCCTGGATGTACAACTGGCTGCCAGGTTCTTGGAACGATTTGGAAGGATTTGTGCCTCAAAGCGCCCCGGGAACGCTGGGATGTGGCGAAGCTGATCCCTGAAGGCCTTGAATATCTCTCGAGAAGGTCATGAGCCTAACGCTGATCTGTTGAACACGATGCCAGCAAGGGTTCAACGCGCGTGCGGTCATCATTCCGTGGGCTACGCATGGAATCTGCGCTCAAGCTGGGTCCGAGAGCAACTCCACAATCTGTTCCTGGCCTCCTTCACGAGCGATTGAAAGAGCTGTTTTGCCGAAACGGGTCTGGAAGTCCTTGTCTGCTCCAGCTTCAAGCAGCAACCGCACGATGCCCGCGTAGCCCTCACGCGCCGCATTGATCAGAGCTGTCTCGCCAAGGTAATCCTGCATCTCCTTGTCGGCGCCAACTTCCAACAGCATCTGCGCAATGTCCAAGTTGCCATTGATGGCTGCAAGCATGAGACCGGTGTAATAGTTGTCGTGTCGCCGCACGTCTTTGTCGACGCCAGCGTCCAAGAGCGACTGGGCTGTCCTCTTGTCGCCGTTCATGCACGCATCAAGGAACTCATTTGCAGCCTCACGCTGCAGCACATCAGTGGCCAGTGGCAAGAAGACCAGTTGTAGGTCCATGGAGTCATCTAGCTTAGTGGAATTCTCCAACCTTTTCCCTTCGTGCAGCAGATCCTGCTGGCAAAGCGGAAAGCCATGCAGCCTGCAAAGTTCACGCTTTAAGCCTCCAACGTCAGGCCTGAGCGTGTCCGTGATTTCATTCCCCTCCCTTGAGGTTCTGCTTCGCTTCAAGATCCTCTCGCCAGAGAGGTCTTCTACGCTGATGGCAGGTAGCTCCTTCCCCGAAACTCTCCAGATGCGGACCATCGGCGAAGGTCCATGCAGCTCCCTGTCAGCTGCTGGAAACTTTCCTGAAGACGGATAATATGCTTCCTGAACGCTGATGAGACGGGTTTCTGCGGCAGAAATCCCTCAAGAATTATTCTGTCATGAGAAGACCATCCGGTACGATGAATAAACAGCCTGCAGGGCCCTTCAATTCCAATGAGCATGTCCAGTCCTTGTTTTATATCTTGTTCAGCACACACAAATTTTGAGCTCCAGCGGGCATGGCTGATCTTGATCCGGATAGCTCTATCATCAGAAAGAAATTCAAAATGCTCGCCTGCCTTCATTGAAGCCCATCAGGTCCAAAACTTGCAACAATCAAAGACACAGCCCTCCAGCTTGCAAGGTCTCTGCCGGCACTCTAACCTCTATTCCCAAGGGTTTAAGTCACAATGGCTATGCCAGCTATGCCCAGAAACGAGTGAGGACACACATCAGCCAGGAAATCCCTTGTTCGACTGCTGTTGGTGGATTTACGGAGGGTTGCTGTGAGCAACGGCCAGCCCTTCTGACCAGTTTGGAAGGCCTTCAAAGTCATGATCAGGCAAGTTGGACTGGAAAATCCCACGCACGATGTCGATCCCATGAAGGGACCTCAATCCCACAGCAATCCGAAAGACCTTGCACAATTTTGCGATGCCAGCAACCCAGTACCGCTCCGGGCCTAAAAGCCCATAACAATTGTGCCTATTGCTACGGCTAGCAGGGTCAATATTCTATGGGCCATGGGTTCGATTACTTTCCCTATTGTAATGATGCTCCTAGCATGATTAACTTCATCACCAATCACCTGTTCTGTCTGCCACGGGTCCAACCCACGGATCTCTAAACTTCCCTCAATCCCTGCAGGCCCTGTGTAAAATCCCTGTATAGTTGAGCTCCTCCAAACTCCCCAAAAGAAGGACCAGAGCCCACCCCGACCGGCCTTGCTAGTACTTTTTGACCGATCCTGCTCAAATCGACTGGTTGGCGAAGCTTGAGCCTCCAAGCAGCAAGCAAGGCTTAGGGGCTCAGGGTTCAGGGTTTAGGGCTCCATATCACTACTGCTCCTATCTCTGAGTCATACAACGATCATGAGTCTATGGCTTGGAGTTTTGGGCTGCTTCCACTCACGGACTAGGGATCCCCCGAATTTTGGGGAGGGTTAAGGAATTCGAGGCAAGGGGCTACCGTGATAATGCCCTAGTTCGCCCTTGAAGGGCCTCGACAGAACAGCGTAAACCCTAAGCCCGGTACATAAAGCGCACTGTTGCCAGAGTGCTGGAACGGATTGTGATGTCCAAGGTGCAAGGTACTCGGCGCAACTTGGGTTTTGGGGTGAGGCAGAGCCGCTGGTGCCTGCATACTCTCCGTCTTGAGCATGCTGGTCATGACAATCGTGCTACCATCGTCCTGGGATGTTAGTGTGATTAGAGGCAAGTTGGCCGGTCAGGGCTGAAGGTTGAACAGGATTCAAATGTCAAGGAGGATTTCACGTGCATAGGAAAGACTTAAGTCAGCAGTTGAAAAGCTCGAGGATTTGGGATAGGGGGCTTGCCCAATCATCGCTAGCTCTCGAATTGCAGCCAGGTGCTGAACACCTTGACATTTGAGCAACACAGGCAGACCCCAGGGAATGCAGCGTCTACTCCTTTTCGTACTGGAGGTTCACACGTACTGGAGGTTCACAAGAGAAAGAAAGGGATTCTCAACTCAAGGCTTGTGCTTGCGGTAGCGGTATGCTACAGAGACCTGATCATTATAGGGGGATGGATGTCTTCAGTAAGCAGTAATCATTCGACCTCCTACATTGCCACATTCATGAACCTGGCCTTCTTGGAGAATTATAAGCTGAAGCATTGGAGACAACTAGACTTTAGGGTTTCTAAAGCCTGGGTTCCCCCAACCCCCCCACCCTGCCAGATATATCAGGGTCAGAAAGAATGAGCCTGGGATGCTCCTTCAGTGCTCATAACTCATAACCCAAAACTCCCCCAGATACCCCATGATACCCCCCAACAAAGGGGGCCAATGACTTTTAGCAACTCAAAGGCTTGATCTTTGTAGCTGAGCCCTGGGCACTTTTGTTGTTCGTCGGCGTTTGGATAACGACATCTGCATCGAAATCCTCCTTGTCAATCTGCTGCTTTCTAGACAAAAATCTACCCTCAAGGGACGCTGATGATTTTGGTGAGTTATCCAGGAGACTACAAGGGTCCCAAACACGGACACCAAGACTATGATTCACTGTTCGGGCCCCTCTATGAAGCTTGATAGGTGGCACGTGGAACCAAAATTGCCGCCAACCCTTACGCCTTATGCGCATACACGCCCTGAAGAATGGGATCATGCTCATAAAAGCCAAACCCACAAGAATATAGGGAAACCTGGAAAGGTCATGGCAAACCCGCTTGGAACCAAACCGGGCAACTCAGCGGGATGTTGTTTCAGGTAGCAAATCGGACATCCAAAGCCCCAAGCCTAACCGAAGCTCTATGCCCTAGACCCTTCCTACACTAGATTCTCAAGTGCCTCAGCATTCTAAGCGTGGAGCGATTGTTCAAAGCAGGCAACGAGGGAATCTTGAAGGCCCTGCGACAAAAAAGGGTTTATCCCAAAGGGCTCGAAATCGGAAAGGCTTGCCATGTGATTCCACTCAGTGCAACCGCCCCAGTGCTTTGGGAGAGCCCTTGAGGCCGGCCTAGACCTCCCACCGCACCGCACTTCCACTTGCAGTATCTCCAAAACCCAGGAGACCACAAAATCCCAAAAGTCTTCTCAATCACCCATGTGAGTCCTGGACTAAGTTTGTAGCATAGTCCTTAATAGGTCCCCCCAAAAAACCTATATAGTCCCCCATAGGTCCCCCCTAACCTAAATTTAGTCCGTAGCTCATGTGAGTTTCCGTGAACTCACCTGAGGGTCGGATGCAAGGAATCCTCCAATCTAGGCCTTACCTCTTGGGCACTCTGCCTTTGTGGGAGCATCCCCCTTACTTCCATGATCTCAACAAGGGCCACAAGGGGACAAGTGTTTTGTTTGACAAAACCCAAACCCAATCTCCATCCCTAAGCCCGCAACACCTCAAAGCCCAGCCAAAACCTTAAACAGTCGAATCCTCCGGCCGATCATTCTCGTCAGCTTCAGACATGGTAATCACCTGCAGGCTGCGTGCATGCCAGGTTCAGGGTTCATTGGGGACGATGCGGAGATTAGAGTTCCTTGTTGTGCTGGTATGCAGGTTGGCCTGAGAAACCGCACATGGCAAGTTCCAAGGGCAAACTGGGAGATTGAGAAAACAGCCAATGGATTGAGTGGCACACCTGTGTATTTGTGCCCAAGCATTTGTTGACTGTTCACGGGTGATGATTTCACCCGCGTCAGAGCTTGGGCTTGGAAATGGATGCCAAGAATATCAAAGTCTTAATGTGACATCTGAGGTTTCATAAACGATAGGCGCACAGAATATGAGTGGTACAATGTTTGACGTACAACAAGCCAAAAGCCACGCACCGTAAACCCAAACCGTGCCAGTGCCTCAAGGCCACCCCAAACCCTACTTGCGCAAACCCGGAAGGCATCCTGCACCCCTTGCCCCAAACGACCTGGACCATACGAAGCGACAAGACCATGAACCTCAAAGTGTGCATCATACAGGCTTCCACCATTCCCTGAACCCGACTCCTTAAGCTCTGAGCACCGAATCCTAAACTGGAGGAATCGTGGTTTCGCCAATCGCAACAAGTAGCCCTCAACCTTGCAACCAAGAAGGGCTTCTTGCTCAAGCGGCGAATATAAAGCGTGACCATCCTGCACATCCTCAGCTTAATCCTGCGTCAGCATTCAACCCTTTAAGCCCTGAGCCCCAGTCCTAAACCATTCTGGGTCATAATTACACCCCATAGAACCCCTCTATAACCCATTGTAGTAGTTTCCATTTTCTTTTCCATTATCCCAGTATAAACCCCATATAACCCCTGTAATCCCTATAGTTTCCATTTTCTTTTCCATTATCCCCCATATAACCCCATAATTAAACCCCTGTCCGCCCCAAATCCAGCATAGGATCAGGCCTTCTGCCATAGGTTGCGAGGACCTAACCCGTGAACTGAAAGTCCCTTGACCCCCTTGAAGGTATATATTGGGGTACTATTGGGGTTTTATTGGGGCTATACTACGGTTATATTGGGGCAATATTGGGGTTTCTTTGGGGTTATACTGCCGACCGCTAAACCATCCACCAATTGGAAGACTGGAACTTCACAGAGCCTTGTACTGCTCCATGATACCTGACAGCTCAGCTCGAGCTTCGTATGCCTCCAGGCTTTAGGGAGGTGTTGGGGCTTTAAGGCACCACGGACATGCAACAACAAGTACATTAAAGCTCTTCTTGACCAGAGCCCTCCTGGGAATCCTTGGACAGGAATTTACTTCTGACTCTGGCTCCAAACTCGCACGATCCTCCATTTCAAGCCCCTCCCAAAAAGCATCCTAGGGGTTGAGGTTCCCTTCCGGTGTCCGCAATTGCCAAAGATTGCCAACATGATCAATCGTCAAACTTCGACGTACTAATCACGGATGGGCCCTACAAGTCAAATTTTCTGAAATCCTATGTCCCAGCACAGCAGCTCACCTTGAGAAAACATGAAAAAGATGGCTCGATGAAACATGCGTCCAAAACAAGTCCAGCGGTATAGCGGCACTTCGGAAGACATGTTTGATGCATAGCTCAACAAGCGCCTTGGCTTGGGCCATGAGGGTCTTGTCGCACTCCTCTCCAGATTCCAAACATGAGCAATCGATTGGCCGCTGGTGTGTGCATGGTGGGTTCTTGGGTGTTGCATGCTAAGCCCAAACCTGAATCACACTCCAGAATTTCTGTCATCAACCATTAGTACATAGAGTCTGCAGGGCGGCCTTGGTATTGACTGAACTGTTCGGCAATGGGGGATAGGGCCCTGTGAGGCTGCAGCTCTCATCGGACAGTTCCAACTTTCCACCTGGGGGTCACTTCGTGGCGGATGCCGGAGCCCTTGCAAAGAACCGTCAAACACCTTGCAGAGAGTCTTTTCATTGGAACGGAGGCGACAGTAAGTATCCGGACATTCGGACTTCCAATGCAGACCCACCCCCCACATACCTGCCAGGCATTTGCCACAAAAGCACACCCGCCCCTTGAAGGACATGGAGCCCCTTTGTATACCGTTTTTGAAGGGACGGCTATATCTGTAGGGCTCCTTGGAAGGACCGCACTTGTGGCATTCCCTGTTGGTTTGGGGAGTGTACGACTGGCACACACCCAACTGGCTAGCTTCCACAAACGCCATGCAAGGGCTTTGTCTGTCTGCTGCAGACATACCTGTGTACACTCATACCACGCTACACCCTAGCAAGTAAAAGTTTCTGTGCAGCGGCCTGGAAAAGCCAGCACGCCAAAACCTACATACAAACCTCCCTCATGCAAAGCCCAAACATCTAACCGCTCTCTAGACTTGCAGCCCTAAACTACAACCACACTCTAAATGGGAGTTTCTCAAAAAGTGGGGGGCCCCTAGCAACCGTAAGGATATGTAGGAATGAGGAAGGCTGGTATTAGCAAATCTCAGCTTCAGTTTTGAAACTCTTCCACAACCAGCCTCCTTCAGCTTCCGCCTTGCCTCCACCACCTCCGAGTTTGTCAGAGTTTCAAATTAACGTCAGAGCCTAAATACCAGAATAGAGTTGTTGGTTCATCGTGCTGTAACTGTATAAAGAACAATTCTAATTGTGATGGAATTATATCCGGGATTAGTCCGGCTTCTACAGTGAGGGTTTGGGATTTGCGGGTTCACTACTGGGGCTGGGCATTAGAAGGGCAAGGACTCCTTGTTTGGGGTTCAGAGTTCAGGGTTAAGGGATAGGATCTATAGGGTGCGGGCCAAAACAGCAATAGCTGAACAACGATCCTCACAATACATGCGCCGGCAAACCCTGTCCTGACCATGTAGGCCCTTACATTACGGGAGATTTTCAGGCATAATATTCAGGTCACGAGTTGCGAAGCCCGGTTGATGAAGACTCCTAGCCATTTTGGTCGGGACTAGCTGGAACCTTGCGTCCGCCACACACAGACCCTTCCGTGAGGCCTGGCCCAGCAACAGTTTGCAAGTTGTTCTACTCCAAGAACGAAGACTTGGTTGTCTTGACGTTGACTTAAAATTGGTCACTAATCGATCGCTTTCTGGGTGCCTGTGAGCACAGTGGGAAACATGTCTAGAAAACTGGCAGAATGCAGATCCGCACTCTCTCCGTCTTTTACTACTTTGAATGGGGAAGAAGGCTACAGGACACAAACTCGTGATTGACACCAAATTGCGTGGAACTCAAGTGTCTGTATTTGCAAATTACCTACCAATGGGCTGCTCTCCAAGAGTCGTACTAGATACAGTATGTACTGATGCTTTAGCACAAGGGGGCTTGGACGAAGGCCAGGAGGCCTGAACGAACCTTCGCAAGGCTCATGCAATCGGTCGACCATGTATTTTCTTGTTGGTGAGGCACTGGTAATGTGTTCTTTCACACTCTTTTATCCGTTCTTTTGAGAAAAATAAGGTGTTCATTTAGGGTCGGATACGGTGTTCTTTATGTGTTCTACTTTAGGGGTCGGAAAACGACCCCCCGACCCACGCCCAAAACTATTCCTGCCCTGCTACCTTGCTGAAAAACCACAAAAAATGACCGCCCGCCCACGCTCCTTAAGGCACTTAAGGTAGACCCGAAGGGTAGCTTTCATGATAAAGCAAATGTATTCTGTATTCAAGGAAGTCCACGCAAGCCCTGCGGCGACCTCGCGCATTCGGTTCTCCAGGCGCATCTGCTGATCCTTAGGATTTCATGAGGGATCTTCAGAAAAAAGTGTGGGAAGCTTCTCACATAGCTGGTTCTTGCACCCTGCTTGATTTCCAAAATCCGTGCTCTGAGTGGGCCTGTTTACTTGTTTGGAAGGGCAAATATGATACGGAGTCGTGTCAAAGCATTCAGTAGAAACCCAGTTCAGCTTTCTGGTAGCAGCGATGCACGGATTCCACGAACAGCTCCGAGGAGGGATGTGGGTATGTGCTGACGCATGAGTATATCACGTTCCCGCCATGGGCCTAGAGAGGATGCAACGTATAACTCCATAACCCTAGACAATCGTTCACCGCAGCAGAACTGCAGCAAGACTGCACGTGGACAGTGAAAGACATCAGTGGTCTTCAAGGATCTTTGGTATATTGGGGGCTTCCTCCACAGCTTCACTGTAGCCCTTCATGGGCCTTAGCCAGAAGAGCGTAACAAACATCAAGGGAACTACAGTTGGAGGCTTTCCACCCAATATTCAACTGCTTTGACTGATTGGGAACTGGGAAGGCGCTGGAAAGCAAACGCATGGGAAGCTCCATAATCCTTCGAGTAGCCGCTACAGACTTCCAAGAACAGGCTTTCCGATTCCAAAATCTAAGTGCCGAGCTCTTAGCCCCAAGCCCTTCACCTTACCACCCCCGTGCTAAAGAAACTCGTGCTTGAGCCCTGCAACCCTGATGAAAGCAGGATCAGAATGTCTCCAGTCCATTTCGGGCGGCTCTGCGAGGGCACGTGCCCTAAAAAGTGATAGGACATCCGGATATAGGGATTATATTGGGATAATGGAAAATAACATGGAAGCTGCTATTTAGGGTTTACCTACTATAATGGGGAATCAAATGGAAAAGAAAATGGAAAATGAAATGGAAACTGGGCCCTAGATGCTCAACCCGAGTGAGCAGACTGGGATCGACAAGAAGCCGCGCATGAATCCTTGAATCTCCCTGCCTTGAAGACCCTAAAGCCTGTTAGCCCTACGGTAAGCCCTATGAACCCTCAACCCTAGAGCTTAAAGCCCCTTAACGCTATCTGAGCCCCAAACCAAAGCCTATATCCGCCAACCCCGGCCTGGCGGGGCGTGCGCA